TGCAGTTGGCATTCCAACTCCCAAGTGATCAATTACTTAAATGAATCCTGAGATGGCTAAGCTAAATAAAAATCCTATTACACGAATGAAAATAGAATTGTCTTTATAAATTTTAAAAAAGTAGTAATAAACTGAATCAACTACCCTGAACATTATATTATTGAAGAGCGAGCACAGTTAGGTAAAATATCTTACGTAATACCTCTAAAAACTATGAACTAGTTACAAAAATTAGGCTTAGTGTAATTGATGTAACTTTTATATGTATATATATATATAAAACAAAACCAGGAGGTCTAGTGTGAAACTCAAAATTACAGTCGTAACTCATAACAAATTTCAACTATATAAATTTAACAATATTTCATGAATAACTAACTACGTATATAAAACAAAATTAGAAATCAAGCCATTTTTGAATAACCTACGTTCTTCGGTAGGACAGCAGTAATTTTATGGACTTATAATGCTAAAATCCCCCGTGGTGGACACAGTAAATAGTCCAATGTGACTTGGCTCTAAAATTATAAAACAAACAATAAAATACAAATGCTACAATTTTTTTTTTTTTAAATATCATATATATGTCAGAGTGGATGATGGTTGTCGGTAGAAACTAAGATAGCTCTTAACAACATATTAATTAATTATGTTACTTCTAGATTTTATTATGGGGTGACTACTATACATACAACTGGCTGCAGACAATGAATGGAACGTTATGGGGTAAAGCACCTAACAGCTAATTGATCTTCCATGATTGTTATCTTGTTCTACATTGTTCTTTTGGATTATGTCTTATAGACAGAATATCCCCAACGCTTTTGGGTGCTATTACCGCAAGCATTTTCTCCCCTTTTTTTACTTTATTGACAAATGGTATGATTTGTTTTATATATGCAGTTAGCTATTCATGAAAGTTTAATAAGTTTATATACTTGAAAATTCCCAAGAGCAATAGCTTTCACACGAAACATCTCGGTTTGGGTTTTTATTCAAATTTTCATCATTGTACAGAGTGATGATTTTGTCACCTATATACAATTGATGCAATTTATAGTGTTATACCTGTTTTATTTACTAATATATATATATATATATATATATA